TTTCACCTAACATTCTTCCTTACTATTGATTAGATCTTTAGAAGTGTGACTATTTCTAGGTCAGTTAATGCAGATTGTATTTATTCCTTCATGTGTGCTGTTAGTGGCATCAGTTGAAGCAGTTTTTGGAAAAAACACAGAAGGACATCTTTTCATGTAACAATCTTAAACCAGTGTTGAGGCATTCATGTTTCATGATCCACTTGTGAGAGAAGGTTCATGGTTTGTTACATACRTTGTGGAACCAGCTGTTAGTACAAGCTGACTTTCTTCCCACCTTGCCCTTGCTCTGGAATGAGCCCACGTGTGCCTACTGCCACGCAAACTCTAGGCGCAGGAAAAATTCAGAGTTATTTTTAGCCCTGCGTTCCTGGTCCAGCATGTAAGGTTATAATTAAGTTACTCATTATCTTTTCTTCTTGGAGGAGCCTTTATCCATCTATCTGTAGATAGTGTGAAGAGCTGATTTTTTTTTTTTTTTTACTTGACAGCACATTGGAATGATTTTCCTTTAATCTCCTGCTAAGCACTGCTTTAATGCTTAGTCAGTGGAAAATTACCTTATCAATAACATTAAGTGAGAACAGGAGTTGAAGAGGCCTTTATTGTGCAGTCCAAACTACTTGCATTGCCAAAGACTATCAAATCCTTGTTATGAAGCTTAATGTAGAATGTCACACCTCCAGAACAGGATGCAGCTACTACATCATCATGACAGGAGCGTGCTGCTGYTTGTGTAAAGCCTGGGAAAAAAAGTTAATGAAACAATGGTGGGGAGAGCTATCTAAACTGAATTCACAGAGGSTGGCAGCTAGTGTGAGCCTGGTCAGTATGAAATGTATGAGGAGGGCAAGAATTTCTAGGACAACTCTCTTCAAGAACTAATTTCCAAACCTTCTGGCACAGGTGTTTATTTAGCGAGCAGACATCCAGCTCCAGAAAGTCCAGAGTGGACTTTTTGGCACAAATACTGCCCACAGGGGGCGGGGGGGGGGAAATGTGGTGGTTGTAAATTCTGTAGGGGATACTGAGATATTTTTGCACATTTTGTACATGAAACACAATCTTGGGAAAGGCTTTGCCTACGTACCTCGAATTCCTGCTCAAAGTCTGCTTGCTAAGATGTTGCGGCCTCAACCCTTGTTTGTAAATTATAATAGATTTGAAACTTCGTACAGGAGAAAGACAAAAACTKCTGATTATCATACTAACTCTGCTAGTAGCCTCTCAGAGAACACAACAAATCAGTTCCTTTTTGGGATCATCCCTTTTGAGGGTACTACTGATAGCAGGTGTAGTTAAAGTCTTGTAAATGCTGGATCTAGGCCTTGTCACCCAAATAATTTGAGACTTAATCCAAGATGAGTAGGCACAGTCTCACTGGCCAGTTTGACTAAATGGAAACTTAAGGGTCAGTAGTGCCACCATGAAGGAAAACAGAAGGTTTGAAATAAAAGCTGTATCAGTGAAAYGCCTTAATTTGGGCAGGAATAATGGTAGGCATCATAATATTCCATGAAGCTCAGGGAATAAACTCTCCTAAGTGCTCTGGAGTTAGTGTCGATTGTATATTGTTTTATGGTATGCATTTGTCTGGAATTTTGCTGAAGACCAGGATGGCTTGTAATAAACAGGGAATAACTTTAGAGACAATTAAATTAAATTTACTGACATATATTTTGTTGTGGCTGCTCAGTGAATARCAGGATAATATGAGGCTCTACATTCATAAAATAATATTACCGATTTTAAAACCCAGGAAAGCAAAAACCCCTTCCCTTTTGTAAAGCCTCATTACATGCAACCATGTTTAGCAGAAAGCTCCACTGGGTTCAAACCATAAACCCAGAAGTGTCAAATGAGATGAGTCAATTTTCCCTTTTGAACAAATTTGCCTGTCAGACGCAGATATTCTCACCAGGCAAACTGAAAAGCAGGTGCCGGTAAAACCCTTTCAAGTTACATTATTCCTCTGCTGTTTATAGAAGCATACATGCAGGCACTGAACACAAAAGGAACTGTTTGCTCYGTGTAACTGTTTGCTCAATTTTCTGTCTAAATAGCCAGCATTTTCTGRTCATTATTGCATGTCACACCTGCTCTGCAAATGCAAAATCTCCCACATATTTGGGAATAACACCTCACTAGCAGTTGCAGCCAAACCACATGAGTAATATCCTGCCAAGGCCTGGAAACCCTGGCCCTGGAGATTTCTTTAGCATTTGTCAGCTGACTGTGAGGTGGAAACACGTAAATGAGAGTGCAGGTGTACCAGGAAGCGGAAAACATTACCTGTATGAAGGCTCACRTGTAAGCAGTTCACAGTATTCAGACATGCTCACACAAAGACACACAAAATCATTTGTGCAAATGCTGATGGGTGTTGCTGCCTTTGATGTTCTGCTGGGAGGAAGGCTTTCAGCAGATAATACTACCTGCCTAGAGTGCTGGCTGCATCCTTCACACCAATAGTACCATATACTTGATACCTTGACAGAAAACTAATTCAACAACCCCTCAACCCAATCAGCCTATACTAAACCATATTAATTTTCTGACCTCTGTTTTCTGCTGTGAAAAATGCACAAGAAAATAAACCAACTGTGAATATGAAGAGGGGAGAAATGGAAAGGAAGAGTCCTTTCCCTGACAGCAGCCTGAAGATAGAGGAATTCCAAAATATCAGATATGCCTATATGCCTATAAAATACTTCCACRTTCTTTTCTGTCCTCCCTCCCATCCTGCCCGCCAGCAAATATTCGCTATTTGGCACATGTTCATACCAGTGGAATGGAGAACACTTTGTTGTTGTTGTGCCAGGCCAGGATGTCCACTCTTCCAAAGTCCACTTGCTGGACATTGGCAGAAAGTATGTAGAAAAGTTTGGGTCTTGTCAATGGCTCCTGCCTACAACCACTAGTGTCTTTGGGAGGTTCTCAAAATCAATTTTCTGCGAAAAAAAATTGAGCAGTTGTTTGTTTGCCTTTTCTCCCCTCAGTTCATCAGGCAAGTTCCCTCATGTAAGGGGACTCACGTCGTGAAATGAAGGTTGGGCTAAGGCTCTTTATGAAAAGTAATTGGGTCACCAGCTACAACTAGAGAAAACACAAGTGATGCCCCTCTTGCTTTCCATCTGCAAACTCAAAGCAGCTCCCCAGAACCTGGCACTACTGCTAGTCCTACATGGCTGATAGAACTCAGCTGTTTTTCTAGCCTCTCTCTGGTGAAGGACCGCAGGTAGACAAAAATGGAGAAATACAGACACAAGCAATTTTAAAATTAGCTGTTTAAAGCAGATTACCATGCAGCCTATGCAGCAAATGATGCATGTTACTAAGAGTGCATGCTAAGAATCTTGTGTGCATTTTTGACCTCTCTAAAGTGACACATCTTTCCCACATATTTCTGCAAACTTGCACTTTTACTAGAAGGCAAAACTCCTCCTTGTAGCCATTGTATGCATTACCTACCATAGATGCTGGGAGAAGTCCCCTGCTCTTTAACAGACTCCTAGCCTTGGTGGAAACAGCTTTTCTTTGCTTATCCCTGCCRCTGGTACTTCTCTCCCAAACATGACCGAGGCAAACCTCATCCTCTCCAGCTGCAAGCTCRAGTCACAGGATTTAAATCATGCCACTTCTGAGCTTTGCCCGTGCAGGGTCTCGCACACACTKCCTGAAGTACCTCAGTACCTACACACTGCCACCTGTGCCCTGACACCTGAGCAGTGTGACATCCTTGAGGCATCCTCCTCCTCCCTCTGGGAAAAGGGGCAATGAGGGTAGCACTGAGGGGCAGGGAAGAGATCACACTGAATTGCACCAGTGCTCATGTGACYGCTGTGTCACACGCCAGCCCTTTCTCTGTTCACAAAGTTCACTTTGCTGCACTCGCTCAAAGGACACTGTTACACCTTTGTCCAGACTCGCCTCCTCTGGCACGCTGTTGCAGCAGGCTAAAGGGCACTTATCCACCTCTGACGGCTCATTCTTGCCTACAATTATTTTGTTCTTGTATGGCTGATAAGGGCTAAGCCTGCCTGCTTTACACATATCAAATATTATCTCTCTCCTTGTACTCCTACAGAAAAGCMCAGACTTCATGATGCAATGAACTAAAAGGCTGACGTAGTTCAGCTGCTGGATATAACCAAGTTTTCTTGTAGTTCCTTTGATAAAAGTGATTCACGACATCAGATTTTCAGCCACAGAGTTACAGACGATATGGAATTAAAGGGAGGGAAGACRAGAAGGTAGAGGATGAGGCAAGAGTCCAAAACATTACATAAGCCCTGCAACTGTGGAAGAAAGTAGGAAAAAGAATGAAAATTTAAAACACATTCAGTAGTATTCTTGTGAAAATGAGGTTTTCAATAAAGTTATGATAGCTCATGAGGTAGCAAAGGCAGAGACTTCAATAGTCAAATCTCACAAATTTCTTACACACTGTGCTCAGATGGAATCTTGAGCCAGGCAGGCACGCTAGGGAACACAAGGCTCTCTAAGATGCCTCAATATTCTGACATTCATCCAGTATCCTCCAAGAAGGAAACTATTAACATGCCCTCAAAATTCTGGGAATTGAATTTGCTCTTCTGTTGTCATTGAGGTTCTGGGAAGAAGTTGCACACAACTGATTAAGAGGAAGGACTACAGCAGGGTGTAGTTCCTAACCCCTCTTGTTGGGTGCTGGGTTTTGCATAAACTTTGTATTGTGAGATATAAGCCTCATGARTATCACATTTGACCAAAACTGATGGATGGACTTGGGTTCATCCCAATTACAGCATTGAGTCACATTTGTTTCAAAAAAGTTTATTTAAACAAAGTAGGTACATTTCACAGAAATGGTTATAAAATGCATAGCATATTATAAACAATACTGTTACTTTACAGAGAGTAGTTGTTATTATCCTAAATATTGCTTTTCAAAAACTAATGAGCCTGCTTGGTAAATCAGAAAGCTAAAAATCCCCATCTTAGGCACTCTGAAAAAACAACAAAGCAGGTGTCCACTTTTTCATTCACTCTACTGATTGTTTGGATTGCTGCACCATTAATTTGCCAGTTCTTATTAAGTGGAAATATCCAACCCCTGGAGTCACACACCAAGACTAGATTTTCATTAACTGGACTACAAATTGCACTTGCTCAGCCAACCAAAACCCCATGCAACTCCAAAGAAAGCTGACTGAGGGTCTTCACACTGATTAATTTCAAGCACAGAGACCTTACCAGTGGACAGAAAAAGAGCAGTTTTTCTAAATTGTGCAGGTGGGTCACACCCATATTGCTATTCATAGGCAACTTGATTGCAAGTTGGCAAGTTCATACAGATTTCAAGCTTGACTTCAATGGAACCTGAATGCCCAGCAGAAACAGACCTCACCATAAGTGGTGATACAATGTCACAGAAAGTGGAATTGAGCCTTTCTACTGCACTGGACAACAGTGCTGTAAACACTCAAACATTCATGACTTTGCACACCCAAATACAGAGGTGTCTGTTTTTTTCATCTTTGGGATGTCAGGGTGCAGAGAAGTAAATAAAAATGAAAAGCACAGCACCAATCCATATCCATAGCTAAAACAGATACCTGCTTATTCACACAACATTTCAGTACATGAATCATGACTGACATTCTTCACATTTACATTTGTATGACAATAGGCAAAAAGTAAATGTTGAGGTAAAAGATATGCACCAGGTTTGCACTGGTGTAAGCAAATCTAGAATCAAGCAAGCTACAAAATCCATTAATTCACACACAATAGAGAAAGAAAAATCCCCACATTTTTAAAACATATACATGTAGCTCAAACCACGTATGTTTTCAAAACATATAGATAAATGTTGAAGAATAAACTGACTTTTYTACATGATGACATGAGCTTTACAGTAGTTTAAGCTTGGCTTGGACTGAACATAAGGAAGCTTGAACTCTGGCCAGCAGAGCTCCTTTGGAACGGTTTGTCAAAACGGAAGAAAGAGGTCTGAAGCAGTCCAAGAACATTGATGTTTCATTCACCATCTTCCAGTAGTTTCTGTAAGTTGTTCTGTATCTTAGAAAAAGAGAGGAAAAGAGTTGGGAGGCAAGAAGTGTTACACTGCATTTTAAACARAAAATAAAATAATGACACGCTCTTCAAAATACTCTATGTGCACATTAATTTCTATCACACCTTTTCATATCAAGGGTACTCCTGTTAAATGCTTTCCTTACAGTAAGTGCTAGCATCAAATGGAACACCTAGACACAACAAGCGMGCAGGACACCTAAGTTTCACATTATGAATATCTCTTTAAATTTTCTCCTACACATTGTCTCCCCCAATATTAATAAAAAAATGGGACAGAAAAAGAAATTAGAGCTTGAAGCAATAGGACAAGAAACCAMATTATTTTCACCTTGATCAAAATCCAGTAAAAGTCTCAAACTTCCAAGTTACAGCTCTATGGTTTAAATGGCAATTCAAATAGTTTTGTAACAGCTTCAGCCATGATGTGTGCACAGCAAAGAAAGTCTACTAACCATTAGCAGTCATGTCCCATTTACCAGATTTAGTGAATTGATTGTGGATTATTTTCCTTTAGTTGAAATGAAAGCAATGTCAGCCAGTTGCATCCTCGAGAATAATTTGAACAGACCTATTTTCACATGGCCTATTTATCCACTTTTCATCTCCTTGTCCTTAAAAGCAGAAAGGAGGGGATATAGTGGGTCACATCCCCTGACACAGATGCTCTCTATAACTCAATATCTTAGTAACTTGCAGGCACTGCTTACAGATTTAGTCACAGCTACTTTCACGTTTTGAGAAGCCTTTGCAGTTCCTGTTGAATGTTATCACTTCTTAGTCCTACCCCATGATTTCTCTCCCAGATGCACACCTTTCATAAGAGGGGCATTTTAAGAAAAAGGAAACAGTAAGAACCTAATTTTATGAGAGTTCCTTAACACATAACCAGGAATTTCCTTTTAGCCTGGTAAGTTAGTGTAAGGGAACAAGAAATATTAGGCCACATTTTCCCTTCCACAATTTAATGTTTTATCCTTTGACAGATATGAGGCATTTTAACAACTTCTTAAATAYAATTAAAAGCCAAATTAACAGAAAATTAGCAGAATATTGCTAAACCATGGTAGTTCCTTGGCTCCAAGTATGAAAGAAAACTTGTAAACATCACAAGGCTACACTGAAAAAGTCACTGCAGCATATTCGTGCACCAAACATTTTTTAACTGCGGAGTAATTTTTTGTTCTTAATCTAGATAATCTCAGTGCTCTAGTTTACAGTGCTGTGGTCAGAGGGGAAGTATGGGGAGAGATGACATGTTACCAGAACTTTTGTGCTACCTTTGCTGCTGCAGCCAGTTTACCAGTACTTTCCATAAGGCATAGGAAACTGTTAAGCAGCTGCAGAAACTTTGCTCAGGTAACAAAAAGCTATTAGATTTCTAACCACAGCTCATCTAGGTTAGAACAGGATGTGGCAATGTGCAGCTACAGGCAATACTGATTTAGCTTGTATGCAGAACACTTCATCGCTTTGAATATTTGGCAGGTAAACATAAGTCTTTAAAGGTCCAGTCTTGTAGACACTGAACAAAAAAAAAGCACAYGACTTCAGATTCTAATTCAGGACTGTGGGTCACTTCTCTGGGAAGAGTTGAATGATCCAGCTATCCAGCTGTCTGTTAATGTCTCCAAGCAGGGACTATATAAGGGAGTGGGAAAGTGCCTAGCCTTGTTGCAAAGGGCTGGCTGGCTTCCCACTAAAACGAGGTCTCCCATGAACCATCTTGCCAGCCTGTCCCAGCCAGAAAACACTAACCTCTTAAATGACCTAATTTGGCTGAAGATTGTATCTGGTAACCATCTGGTAAGCATTTTCCCCTTGTATTCACAGAGTTATTATCCAGGGAATACAGAGGGGTTAAGCCAGCATTACTCTAGATTTCCATGGCCGAGGGGGTCAAAATGTGGGGGAGGAAACCCCTTTTGGGCAGTATTTCTAAGACCAATGCCACACATGTAAACAGTGATATTATATAATCTTAGCTTTATGCTATTTGGGAAACTTGGTTTGGGGAAAAAAAAGGTGTTGAAAGACTTCGGCACAGACTCAGTTGTAGAAACAGAGGCAAAAATACTTCATGTGACTTAAGCACACAGGAATTCAAGTAACTTTTGGTTTTGTTCCACTAGTCTTTTTGTCATGCTTGGCTGGTGAACGTGTTCCCAACACACAACATTTGACCCACCTTCACTGGGTGCATCTGTCAAGGTTTGGGGGCAGGTGGGGTGAGTGAGGCAGGGAAAGTGGCTCTGGGCCATGACCAGGGTCTGCCCTTGTGTGGGACAGCGCCATTCCAGCAGCAGTGAAGACCTGACACAGGGCACAGCTCAGCCCCAGCCATGAGATCAGTGGAGCCTCTGTTAAATTATTTTAGAAAGGGGAAGAACACCGAATAAGGAAATAAGGTCTGCACACCACTTGTTTTTGCATAGGTTTCCAATTTAAGTCATCAAATACATTTAGTTTTGCAATTAGAGAATGGTAAAAAGCAAGGATCAGGTATAGGGAATCACACAACTGGTACAGCAGCATTTCTGTTACAGAACTAACACAGGCAGATTTCAGCCCCTTTGTGTGAAGAAGCTGACTACATATGAAAGCAAGCACCATTTTTCGTACTCAAAAACCCGAAACTCCAACAAAAGCCCCAAACAGAAAATTTCATCAAATACCAATAAAGGCTAAGTTCAAAACCTTTAGCCCTGATGGATTAAAAAAAAATAAAAAAAAAAAAAAAGAAAAAAAAAAGACCACTACATAATGCAATAATCACCTCTGAAGTGTCTGCTTCAGGGACACTTTTCCTGGTTAAAAGCCTCAGCTCAAGGCAAAAGTTTTACACACACCAATGCTTATACTTGGGTTTATTTACAGAACAAAAACTAGCCCTTTGTTTTGGAAAACACTCCACCTTCTGGTATGAAATCTGGGGGGTTACTCCACACTTCTCAAAATAAAAGATTATAGAAACACAGCAGGAACCTGATTAGTCTCTCAGCATTTGCACAATATCATAGGATGTTACCTTTTCCAGTTTTCTAAGATTAGCAGTTAATTCATCACAAAGGGCATCAGCATTAATTTGCAGATGAGATCCCAAATCTTGATGCAGTTGCTGTCTGCCAAACAGAATGAAAAAGTAAGTGTGACAGACTTTAAAAAAGAGGAAAACAGAACTAAATACACATGTAGATGTTAAGAGAGTGGCAAAATTGTAAACTGTACTTTTTTACAGATAAAAAAAAGTCCTATGTCACTTCTTGACTACATTCTTTATGTGATCTCATTCTCAGAAGTTTGGATGGAACACTTTACAGCTATTTTCATTGAAAAGTTCTGTAAGTTCCACATCCTGTAACTTGGAGGAAATCAGAAAGCCCAAGCCCTTGACACTGTAAGTGCACTTTAGATCTTCCTTCCTGTATCTTGTACTGTTTGGGATCAGAGCAACAGAAACAGGACTTTTTTGTGTTGTTTCTGAAGAGGCACACAGCATCCTGCTAATAAAAATATGCCAGAAGTGAGAACAAGGCTTTTGACATTGCCTACCATGTGAGGCAGGTTTATCCCACTTGGTGCATTTTTGGTACAATATAAATGCAAGGCTGTTTAAGATAAAGCACCATTTCCTTCCTATCCTTTTTTTATGAAGAATCTAGCTCTGTCTTCTGACACATGCATACAAATCCTACTGCTTTCCACAGAAGACAGCTGAGACCTGTTGGATCATAAACAGCACAGTCATTGTTTGATATGACCACAAGTGCAATGTCAGAGTGACTTGTTTTGTCATGGATGGGTAATCAAAGAAAGCTGAACTAAAAAGCACACTTATGTAAGAGCTTGCTAAATTTGAACCACTCTGCAGACAGTTCCACCATGCCTGAGTCAGCTCTGTCTTGAATTTTATTTTTCCCCTCTCTTTTTCATGTGGTGCTTCTTCAGCTGTCAGCATTTCCACTCATGTTGCATGTGGCTGCAGGTTTTGCACTGAGTTTACAAATGACTTTTGAAGCCATATTTTTCAGAGCAGCTCAGGAAAAAATCTGTTATAAGAAGGGGAGAAGAGTTAATACAAAATCTAATGCTCAATAAACTGATTAGTATTCTCAGCAGTATCCAGTTTAATTTCCTTCTGTCCCAAGACAAGTGCAGAGAGCCAATACAACTTAAAATGGTAAACTGCTGTAAAAAATGTACACACYTCTGCACTGACTCTCCCTTTAATGTTTGCATATTTTCTATCTGTGCAACGTGGAGACAAAAAAACACCCAAAGAAACAAAAAGCCTAACTGCATGGGTAGATGACAGCCATGACTCTAGCTGCTGAAAGGTATTGTTTATGTAACTATGGTCCCTTTCCCTATTTCCTCCTCAAAAACAYAGACAACTGTCCCTTGGTGTGTTTAGATTTTGTTTGGTTTGTTTTTTGTGGTGTGAGGTTTTTTATTTTAGAAAGACAGGATATCAGTTTCGAAATGGCATTTAAAAACCATAAAGCTTTAGAATATGGTATACAATCAAGACAGATGTAATAGCCCAACCTTTAGGCTAACCAAATTGCACAAAGACTGAAGACAGACATCACACCTTTTTCATGGAATCATTGCTCTAGAAAAAGATTTTAAACTCCCAATGTTTTATAGAGTTTATCTTACTCCTTAATATGTGAATCAAAGGCAGTGATGGACATAAGGCGTTCTTCCAGAACACTGATTTTATATCTCATGTAGAAGGTAGAAAGTATTAATACACAAACGCTGTAAGAGAGAAAAATAAAGTATATCAATTAAGGAAATTTTAGCAGCCCATCACAAATTTATTGTTAAAAGCCATTTAAATTACAACTCCTACACGTTCAATGATACAGGTATCATTCTTAGAAACATTTCAGGAATGCCAGCACTGATATTCAGTTAGGAAAACCTCGCACTTGAGTATGCGTT